ATATGTAAAATATATTTTTGGCTGAGATTTGATTCAGTGACAATTTTATGTCCTGATGACGTCATTTGGCAACAAATCGACCTTTCTTTAGCAACTTCCGCTGAAAATTAGCTGGCGACACTGTTTGATATACGCGTCCCGAGTCACTGGTTCGAAAACAAATGATTCGCAAAGGATTCGAAGCTTCGTTTGGAAAGCGCCCGGATGTTCTCGCCAGTCTTGTGTTTTAACCATAAACTGTATAAAAACTCTTTTCTGAAGAGCGTTTTTGAAGCTCAAAGTGGGTGGAGGCGGCCGTCGCCATCTTGGCAGCGCGTCACTCCCGGATAATCTTTACTGACAAGATGCACATTAAATATCCCATGCGATTTATCGTGCAGCCCTAAACCACGCCCACCGAGCTCGACGGTGGTGACAGTAGCGGCAATCCACCTGTCACTCAAGCCACGCCCTTAATTATGCAGAACCTTAAGGCTTGATATAATTTAAACGGATGAGTTATAAAAAAATTCACCCCCCTCACAGTTGTCATGAAGGGCAAAATTAGCTATATAGACCAAAACCACTTTTTGAACTAGGCTGTAAACATGTTTTTTTCTGCTGTAAAGTTGGGCATTTTAACATGGGGAGTCTATGGGATTGACTCCCTTTTGCAGCCAGCCTCTAGCGGCCAGTTGATGAATTACAGTTTAAGTCACTTCCGTGTTGGCTTCATGAGAGAGAGCGGGAGGTTGCCGCTTGGTTTTAACGTTATTTGTTACCTGAACTAAAGTCTGCAGCTGGCTGATGAACTGTTTGTGCATGGCTTCAGTCAGCTGAGGATTCTGCTTCGACAGAGGCTGGAAACAGTGGGAAAACCTGTCGAAACTGACACAAAGAGTGGCGCTAACTTAGTAAGAGACGACAAAAACACAATGCGAAGGAAGGGAAAAGCTGCATTTCGTACGTTAACGTACCTGGCGTTGTCCAGCAGCCACTGCAGACTCTTCTCCATCACTTTACCGAAGAGCTTGAGTCTCGGTTTAGATTGCGATGACTTAACCGAGTCATTCCGACGAGACGAACCATCGTCCACTTTATCCACACTGCTTTTAGCTGAGACGGATTCACCGCTCTTCTCGGACTCCTCCATGTTTCTGTTGATGTTTACAAAAGTGCCCGCCAACAGCACGAGCGTCACGCTACGGAAAGCGAGCAGCCGCCAGTTTCAAACCGTATACCCAAAACGCGTTTCTTCTTCTTCCTCTTTAATGGCGGATGGCATACAACTTTTAGGTGCATTACCGCCCCCTACTGATGAAGAGTGTGGGTCAAGATCATAATCTACCAAGTTTCAAGTTTTATTTGTCATGTGTACAAGTGTCAGTGACAGAATCTGCATTGAAACCCTTGAAATGCACTATATTCTAAGCCTTGAGACTATGGTTTCCTCATGTGTGCTTCTTCCTGTTACTCTATATTTACCAACAACTCGATGCATGCTACAAAACCATCTCCCTGTTCTTTCTTCTTCTTCCCATTGTTTCTGCCATCTATTCCTCACATGTTGTTTGGCTAATACCACTTTACACCTGCACTAGCAGAAAAGTCACACGGGACTTTGTGTTGTCCCTGTAAACAGAACAAAACACAGCATCTAAGTGTATTTTATACAGTACTGTGATGATTATATTTATAGGTTATGTTGTTTTAAATATGTGCAGTAAATAAATGTGTATTTTATTGTATTTATAGAAGTCTCTTATGTTCACCAACACTGCATTTATTTAATTATTAAATACAGGAAAAGCTGTCAAATATTATTACAATTTAAAATAGCTGTCTTTAATGTGAATATAACTGATTTCTGTGATGCAGCGCTGAAAATCATCTTCAGAAATGATTTTAATATGCTGATTTGCTGCTCAATTATTATTGGTGTTCAATTAATAATGTGAAAGAGTTTTTGCTTCTTAATATTTGTGTGATACATTTTTTTTGTATTTTTTGATCTATACAAAGATCACTGAACAGCATTTTTTTTTTAATTATTATAATTTTTTTTGTCAACATTATAAATGTCTTTACTCTCACTTTTGATTTTTAAAATGTATATATATTTTTTTACTTTTGGTCAGTTAAAAGAATATAAGTATTAATGTCTTCCTTTTTTTACCCCAAATCTTTGAATGGTAGTGTATCAAGGTTTCCACAAAAATATTGAGCAGCACGACTGTTTTCAACATTGATAATAATCAGAACTGTTTCTTGAGCAGCAAATCAGCATATTATTATGATTTCTGAATTAATTTACATGTGATCACATTCATCAGATGACACACATAATCACACAAGATATTCATAAATAATATTTACCTTGATGCATGGTGCTTTATTTTTTAGTGCCGTCAAACGATTAATCGCATCCAAAATAAACGTTTTTGTTTACATAATATATGCATGTGTACTGTGTTTGTTTATTATGTATATATAAATACAAACACGTGCATGTATATATTTAAGAAAAATGTGTTATGTTCAGTGTTGGGGAAAGTTACTTTTAAAAGTAATGCGTTACAATATTGCGTTACTCCATAAAAAAGTAACTAAATATGTTACTTAGTTACTTTTTATGGAAAGTAATGCGTTGCGTTACTTTTTAAATCTGGACAGGGCTTGCTTGTTTGTTTTTAAAATAAAAAAGTTATATTTTTGGCAAATATAAAAGCCTTTTCACACCAAAAGTGAAATGAATAAGCCTCAGGCTGAAGGGAAAGTACATTTACTTCCGTACAGTAGAATGCAGAAGAAGAAATTTCAACACACTTCAGCAATAAAAAAAACACACAAATGTTTGTCTAGAGTCATTTTTGCTTATTAGTATGGTTGAACTGGATCATCGAAGGTCAGAAGCAAAGACATTGGTTAATAGAATGGGATTAAATACATAAAGGATATTTGTGTTTTTTAACATTTAATTATTGCAGGTTTGCGTCATATTCTGAGTTGCATTATTTTTATTCATTTTGAGGAATACTGAATCTGTGTTTTTTTTTTTGTGAGTGAGATGAATTAATGTATATTCATATTTATTTTAGAACTACAGTAACATCTTCTGTTTTCTCTCAACATGGGGACAGGAGAGCTGTCAATCAATACATTAAAAAAAAAAGTAACTTGCGTTACTTATTTGAAAAAGTAACTCAGATATTCTCTTGTAAATTAAAAAGTAATGCGTTACTTTACTAGTTACTTGAAAAAAGTAATCTGATTACGTAACTCGCGTTACTTGTAATGCTTTACCCCAACACTGGTTATGTTTATATATTAAATATATTTATATATAATATATATCAATATGTATACTGAATGTGTGTGTAATTATATATACATAATAATACAACATATATTATGTGTACAAACAAAAACGTATATTTTGGATGCGATTAATCGTTTGACAGCACTACTTAAAATTATATATTATTTTGCATTATTTAATTCATATTATGTCATATCGCTTTATGTCAGAAACTAAGACCTTTATCCTCTTTTATCCGCTAAACTAATTATTGTGCATGCTTTTCTGTGTCGTGTGACGTGGATTGTTGAGTTTTATGCCAATTAAGTGTTAGTCATTTGCACCCATGTTTGATGATCTGTCACTCTAACACACACACTTGTGCGCTCACACTCGTTCACGAGCTTAATGACTTTGACTATGTTCACCAGGTAGAACTGCTTAAGCCTCAAATTTGGAAAAGTGGACACTGGACAATCTGGAGCAGTTGCCGAGAGGCGAGTCCATTTCTCTAGTGTCTTCCTCTCAAACTCAGCACCAGTTCAGGGATATATCATCGGCACATTTAACTTTGCAGCCCTATGCTCTCATTACAGGTATAAGGTGAAGACATGCGCTTCTGTGTTTTACAGGAAAATATAATCAGAGAGTTCAAGCTGAATGAAATACTCCAGAGATGTAAGAAACTTAGCAAGCCTGAGGAACTGAAGAAGAAAAAGACAAATAAGACTCAGTATTTATGACTGCCCTGAACCCAGACACGCTGTTCTCCCTCTGAACAGATGGACTGAATAGTGCAACACATCATCTACACAAATGCCTCACATGTGGAACCTTTCCTGTTAGCTTTAATCTCGACTACGACTTTCATTTTTAGTTTACAGGAAACTTTTTTGGGGGGAAAAAAAATGAAAAGTTACATGATTCGACACATAAACCTACGATGTGCAAACAGCTGTGTTTGCTTTCATATTCTGGCCTCTGGCTTTTTATAATAAATGCATTCAGTGCGTCTTAGGGTTTGTCCTAGGCCATATTCTTTACATTCATTCTCTGCATTGACAGGCGAAATCCTTTTTAGATTGCATTATTCTTTTACTCCAAGGGGGTCCCGCCGTGGTACTGCCGAGGGTTTTCCAATTACTGTTTGATCTAAAAATATCAGGCTTTAAACAAAAAAACAACAACACAACATTAAGTTAACTTACCCTAAAGACAACAAGCTAAATGTTTCACCGTCTCTGATTATGTAATGCAAGCATCGTAACAAAGTATGCAAATGCATGAAGATGACATTTTATTATAGGCCAGGTTTAAAATGCAATAGTCAGTTTTATCAGAGACCTACTAAAGTTTGGACATTTGATACATTGTAGCAATAGCCAAAAATACATTGTATGGGTCAAACTTATCCATTTTTCTTTTATGCCAAAAATCATTAGGATATTAAGTAAAGATCATGTTCCATGAAGATATTTTGTAAATGTCCTACTGTAAATATATCAAAACTAAATTTTTGATTAGTAATATGCATTGCTAAGAACTTCATTTGAACAACTTTAAAGATGATTTTCTCAATATTTAGATTTTTTTGCACCCTCAGATTCCAGATTTTCAAATAGTTGTATCTCAGCCAAATATTGTCCTATCCTAACAAACCATACATCAATGGAAAGCTTATTTATTCAGCTTTCAGATGATGCATAAATCTAAATTTCACAAAATTGACCCTTATGGCTGGTTTTGTGCTCCAGGGTCACATTTTTGCTCACATCAACGTCTGGCTAAAATCTAATGCAAGAGTTGGAATCTGTTTCAGGCTAATCTTTCAGACTCGGCTCACCTGAACAGGAGTGTGTTATTGAGAGCTGCTGCCACTGAACGCTCAGAAAACACATGTGAGAGATGCACAGAGGACAGTACACGTAAACGGCATGGTATGGCTTTATACACGCCTGAAAAGTATGCATGATGCGTTACAAATTAACTTTGTACATAAAGTTTCAATTTGCACACCTGTTTTGCTTTGAAAAATACTATGAAATGTACTCTTCAGAGGGCAATACCACACATAATCATCCGAGCATGACGGTTCAGTATCTGAAGGTGTACTGAAAGTTCACGTAAATAAAAGCAGTTCAGTTCAGTCTGAGTTTAAGGGTTGACGTCACCCTATGGTTTCTTTGATGGCAACAGCAGGTGTCGGTCCTATATGAGTCCAGATGTAGCCTTTTTCTGGACGAACCGGTAATGTTGGGAAAGGGCAGCTTCTGGATTTGAAATACTCTGACGGGGCGTGACACACAAACTCCAGGTACTCCATTTTTCTTGGCAAGTCCTCCTCAGGGCCTAAGCAAAGATATCCAGGATTACCAAGTCAATTTAAATATCCTTTAACAATTAATTAATCAACGCAGACCTGACATTTGGAGTAGAGCACATCTGTCTGCAATAGGGTGTGCGTCGCGATATTGACAAAATAATATCTCAATATTTTTTTAGACTTTTTTCAATAATGCTAATTAAACAATATTTTGCAGAGAGTGTTTTGTGCTGGTACCGTGGCTGGTTTATGGATAAATTGATATGACGCTAAAACAAAGTCCCTGTCTTAGCGTGCGATTCATTGAATCATTCATTCAAGCGATTCGTTCAAAACGGCTGATTCATTTAGAAACAAAGCAAATGACTGTCATTATGAGTGGATTTTTGAATCACTGACTGAAATGATTCATTCAGGAACGAAACACTGCAGTGTTGCTCTGAGATGCACAAATGTGACCCTGGAGCACAAAAGCAGTCATAAGTCGCTGGGGTATATTTGTAGCGATAGCCAACAATACATTGTATGGGTAGCTCCAGTTTTGATTGGAGCTCTTCATTGTCAAAACAGAAAAACAGACAATATTGTGTCTAAAATATAACTCACTCAATATTAACTTCTTGTTTGTTGAACAGTAGCATAAAATGAATATCACATTTGCTTGAGCAAGGAACAAAAACAGCGTGTTCCTGCATGAACTTACCAACAATGTATGTGCCAGGATCAAACCGATCTCGAGGACTGGCCTGAGTCGGGATCAGCCAAGTTAACGCCGCGCTTTTCTCACAGTACTGGTCCTGGACGAAACCACGAATCTGTGCGTAATACGGCTTACCGTCGTCCTCGTCTGTTACTTTAATGACATCTCCGGTTTGATAATAGACGCCCTGAACACAAGACGAGTAGCTTAGTGAATAAATAAGTGGCAGATAGAAAAACACTTTAAACAAACACTCTGAACAGTAGAAAGGAGTGATGATTACTAGGGCTGTGCGATATTGAAGAAAAATGCGATATGCGATAACTCATTAAATAATGCGATATTCTATATGCGATATGATACTGCTTAAAGTGCCACATGCTCAGATGAAACAGTTTTACTCAGCTGTTGCTGAGTCAGTTCTGTGAACTTCTATAACTATCTTGTGTCATATATATATGGTTATTAGTATGTATGTATGTATCAAGAGTTCCTGTAAAACCACAACAGATTCCTCGTGTTTGCGCACACTTAAGTGGTGAATAAAGCTCATTCTGATTCTGATTCTAGTAAGAAAGCACCCCTACAACAACTTATGAAAGTTAACAGTATGTGTTTTACTCGAGCATTACATAAAAATGTAATTTTAACATTAGTGTAATCATTTTAACCTGAGTTTAGGAACTGAATAATAAAATAAAAAACTGCTTAGAATTTACTCTTTGAATTCAATATGCACTGATTCTTATTTAAGCTACAAAAGTTATTTAGGTAAGAGCAGTGAGTGATTTTCTCTTTGTCTTTTGTTCATGGCCCCAAATATTGCAAGCTGTAGCGATATGCATATTGCGATATGTACATTTGCGATATTTCGATATATTGCACAGCCCTGATGATTACCTTGTAAAACATGGACTCTGATGTGACGATCGTTGACACGGACTCTGGTGCTTTGATAGGCTATGGAAATATAAGAAGAGAAGGGAAAAAAAATGCCATTGAAGCATTTTCACCCAAAAATTTAAATGCAATGAAAATATGTTCACCCTCAGGCCTGGTGCAGATGAGTTTGTTTCATAATAAGATTTAAGGAAATTTAACATTGCATCACTTGCTCACCAATGGATCCTCTGCAGTGATATTGGACTCTTATTTTAGCCAGAAGTGGATTTGTCTTAATTTGTTTCAGCTTTTGGCTTCACAAGATGTTAACTGATGGACTGGTGTGCATTACTGTGATGCTTTTATCAGCTGTTTGGACTCTCATTCTGACGGCACCCATTCACATCCATTGGTGCGCAAGTGATGCAACGCTACATTTCTCCAAATCTGATGAAGAAGCAAACTCATCCTAATCTTCGATGGCATGAGGGTGAGTGCATTTTCATTTTTGGGTGAACTATTCCTTTAACCCACATAGATACTGCAGGAAGAAAACACCCAGAAACAATCCTCAATGAAACGCACTTACATTTTTCAATTTGAAAACGTGTCGTCTACCCTTTCCTTTGGTCGAGACTTTCTTCTCAGAGGCCGGAGCTTTGTACTTGGTGCTCCGTAACCGAGCGGAGCGTCTGTGGATTTCTTGTTTGGACTATAAAATACAAGATTAGTGTCACTGGTTTTGTTTAGAAACTTTTTTTAGAAGTAAACATAATATAGTAATAAGTGCTTGATGGGGGCGACCCGCTCCATGTAGAATACTAATCAGACTAGAGTTACTTTTTTATGGATTACATGATTGCATACTATTTACACAATAGCAATAAATTATTCATAACTCATTGATTCTCCTTCATGCCATCTTTTAAATGTTCCTTTCTAAAATAGCTTATATGCACTCGGAAAGTCTTCCAGTTTTGTGGACATTCACACGAAGACCAGTCACTGTCACTGCATTTTGACCACTGGATTTACAAAAACCATTTCAGGTTTAAGAAGTGTTTGAACATTGCATCAACTACTGACGAACACATTAGTTTTAATTTGAATGATCACTCTGTAGGTTATTTAACCATGTTTTTCTATATCTTTAGAAGGTTTTTGTCTTTCAAACACATTAAAATGCACAAATTCATTATCTCACAAACGTTTTACTCATCTGATCCTCTTTCAGCTAAAATATTTTTACTTAAAGTACCCCTGAGATTTTAAAATGAGATCACATTTGCATGTTTATGGTTCTCTGACATTGGTTATGGTCACATGACATGCGGGTAAACAAATACAATAATACAAATTTTTACCAAGTGTTTTATTTTGATTGATTTTATAATGCCTTATTTTAATTTAACGTTTTTATGATTTAATTAATTATTAGCTTTTCATTAAACTCACAAACCCCAGTTTGGGAAACCTTGATGCAATATAACGTTTAATGCGCTTCATGATGTTAAAGGAGTAGTTCACTTCCAAGAACAAAAAATTACAGATAATGTACTCACCCCCTTGTCGTTATCCAAGATGTTCATGTCTTTCTTTCTTCAGTCGTAAAGAAAATATGTTTTTTGAGGTAAACATTTCAGGATTTCTCTCCATATAATGGACTTCTATGGTTCCCCCCTGAGTTTTTACTTCCAAAATGCAGTTTAAATGCAGCTTCAAATGACTCTAAACGATCCCAGCCGAGGAAGAAGGGTCTTATCTAGCGAAACGATCGGTTATTTTCTAAAAACATTTACAATTTATATACTGTTTAAATCGCTGTTTTGCCGGGTTTTTTTTGTAAAGGGCATTTGATCTTCTTTGTATGTTCACTTTGTAAACACTGGGTCGGTACTTCTGCAGCGATGTAGGACAATTTTGAAGTTGGAGGAGAAAATGAGATGGGAGTTTTTCGACATACCCTCAAAAAACATATTTTTTTTTAAAGAAAGACATTAACATCTTGGATGACGACAAGGGGGTGAGTACATTGTCTGTAAATTGTTGTTCTGGAAGTGAACTACTCCTTTAATAACAAGGAATGGAATATATATATATGGGTATGGTACAAGATTATCCTATTTAAATCAATGACAAAACGAGATACGTCGAAAGTAATCTAAAAGTAGTCTCGTTGTCTAAAACGTGTACTGTAATGGATTACATTACTAACTACATTTGTGTCATGTAATTTGTAATCAGTAACGGATTACAGTTAGTAAGTAATCTACCCAGCTCTGCTTGCAGTGTAGATTTATTCAGAAGAATTCTAGTTCAGGCTAAATGAGAGGTTGCGCGGATTCGACGTTACAAAGCAAGCCTTCAAACCTGTTTCCCTCCGCCGTTATTCTGATGGATGGCGGAGGAAGTAGATCCTCCGGAGCTTCCGCTGGTTGTGCTTTTAACCGCGCAGTTGTTACATAAAATGTCCCCCTGGTTGCCTTTTTTCCACATGGAAGAAGAGTTGGTCTTGCAGACAGCACAGCATGGTTTTAAACCGAGAGGCATGTTTGCTAAACCACGAGCAGCAGCAGCCTGCTAATGTTTTGTTTACAAGGGTCTTGTATAGTTATTTCTGAATTAAACAGTCGTTTTTCCTGTAAGAGTGCAAGCCAAAACTACAATAAATGTCGATCTAAACAGACATTCTTCATTTTGAAAACAATGAATGATAAGTCCCGTATGTTTGACCATTGGGGGAAAACAACATCCGGGAGGAGAATTTGTGAATGTCATAATAAAGGTCCTGATTCAGCGAGTCTTACTTTCAAAATAAAAGTCTGGGGAAAAGTCTTCACTTGAGGGCGCTGTTTAAAGGGGTCATATGATGCTGCTAAAAAGAACATTATTTTGTGTATTTCCTTTAATGTCATTACACTTTAAGAAAGCAGGTATGTTGCATTTTTTTTTTTATTATGAACCACAACACAAAGGACTGTATTTTAAACTTTTTAATCCAAGCAAATCTTTAGCAGTACTGTTTGGCTACACATCATGCAAAACAGGGAACATAACAAGTAAACAGCAAATGACAATTTAAGGTTAATGCTTACATTAAAAAATATATAATCATCAAATCAAATACAAAATACCACCACCATAGATACTTAAATAAACAATAGCTAAAAAAATACACACAACGGTGAGATTAAGATGTAAAAACTGGTCATTACTTACAACACAAGATGGTTTAATCAAAACGGGCGATCACTTTTAATTTAAAATGGTTACTGGAAAAAAAGCCAGGTTATGCAATAACTATAATCACCAACTCTAGATGGTCTATTATTTCTTTCACCTTATATCATGATGCCATTTAAAGACACAATAAAGTACAACAATTGTGTAAAATGAAAAAAGAAAAAGATCATCAGTGTGAGCACAGCAGAATTTGAAAAAAGAAAAAATCTCTTCATATGAAACCTTCCAACAATTATGTATAAGTAATAGAAATCAAACTACAGTATTTATGATTGTTATAGATTGTGAAATGCGCATTGTGCATTCTGCACTCACATTAAAGGAATAGTTCACCCAAAAATGAAAATATGCTGAAAGTTTACTCACCCGCAGGCCATCTGAGATCAGGATGAGTTTGTTTCTTCATCAGATTTGGAGAAATGTAGCATTGCATAACTGTCTCTGCAGTAAATGGGTGCCGTCAGAATGAGAGTCCAAACAGCTGATAAAAACATCACAATAATCCACAGCACTCCAGTCCATCAATTAACATCTGGAGAAGACAAAAGCTGAAACAAATCCAGCATTAAGATGTTTTAACTTTAAACTGAGTCCATAATCTATAATAACACTTCCTCCAGTGAAAAAGTCTGTGCTTGATCTGTGCAGATTTCTCTCCTGATTCAGACCAGACCACTTTGTCACTGGAGGAAGCGTTATTATGGATTATTATGGACTGTATTTTAGCTGGAAGCAACAGTTCTAGGCAGTAGTTAAAAAGTAACTCAGAAGTGAATTATTGTTATGTTTTTATCAGCTCTCATTCTGACGGCACCCATTCACTGCAGAGCATCCATCACTGAGACACTGATGCAATGCTACATTTCTCCAAATCTGTTCAGATGAAGAAAAATGTTTAGGTGAACTACTCCTTTGAACATGCCATGAAAACAAATGTATTAGTGTTTTAAAATGAAGCAAAATGAAGAGGGCTGTTCTGGTCTTGATGCTGGCTTCACAGAAACTGAAAATGTCCACCTACTTTACATCAGATATGAACGTCAATTTGCTGCGTCTTTCTAATGTTAATAAATCCATAATATTTACACATAAGTGTACCTAACGTTAGCAATAACCATATGATGGCTTTTCCTACACAATAAACAGGCCAATAGGTGTTATTCTCTATGCTTCTATTGACATGTGAATCTTGGTGAGGCTCATTAGAAGGTGGCTGGAGAGAAGGCCTGCACTCCAGCACTGTAGCATTACCTCGGCGGACTGTGTGTTGGCACGGCCGAGGATAAGCTGAATAAATAAGCTTTCCATTGATATCTGGTTTGTTAGGACAATATTTGGCTGAGATACAACTATTTGAAAATCTGGAATCTGAGGGTGCAAAAAAATCCAAATATTGAGAAAATCATCTTTAAAGTTGTCCAAATGAAGTTCTTAGCAATGCATATTACTAATCAAAAATTAAGTTTTGATATATTTACGGTAGGACATTTA